TTTACATGCAGAGGAGATCTCTAGGATCTTCATTCTGTTGGCCATTGAGTCAATAAATGTGTTTAAAAGTCTACTGCAGTTATGGATATAGAAAGGATATGAAAGACAAATGGGGATTTGTTAGTTTGACATATATAGAAAAATATAATCATATATATGTATATACATGAGAAGGTAATTTCAAAGAATTTCCAGATTTGTGAGAATATATAGCATCTTAACTGAAAATTTCAGGCAACAGATCAAAGGTTAAAAGGAATTACCCTTAACCTTTGTTTAAGTTATAGACCTATTTAAGAATTTGACTAAAGCTGTGTACCACTTCACATAATAATACACATCTACAAACATATACACTCTTTAGCCTAACCCTTATGGAGGAGGGAACTTAAAGTCCCCAAACATGAAAGACTAAGCTAACATGGAGTGCCTTCTGTTGTAACTATCTAGAAATATGGAATTTTAAATAACAATTTAATACCGAGTTGAACTCACCATTTCCTTTGCTGTGTGGAAGCATTTTAGTTTGATGTAGTCCCACATGTTTATTTTTGCTTTTGTTGTGAAATTCAAAATATCATTGCCAAGACCAATGTCAAGGAGCTTACTGCCTGTGTTTTCTTCTTGGAGTTTTATGGTTTCAGGTCTTATGTTCAAGTCTTCAATCCACTTTGAGTTGCTTTTTATGTTATGGTATAATGGAGGGGTACAGTTTTATTGTTTTTCATCTGGCTATCTAATTTTCCATCACCGTTTATTGAAGATATGATTTTTTCCCCATTGTATATTTTTGAAGCCTTTGTCATAAATTAATTGATCACATACATGGGAGCTTATGACTGGGCTATTTATTCTGTTCCATTGATCTATGTGTCTGTTTTTATACCAAAATCATACATTTTGATTCAGATAGCTTTGTAACATAGTATGAAATCAAGGAGTGTAATGCCTCTATAGTTGTTATTTTTTCTCAAGGTTGCTTTGGCTATTTGGGGTCTTTTGTGGTTCCACACAAATTTTAAGATTATTTGTTCCATTTCTCTGAAATGTGCCCCCTGGAATTTTGATAGGGATTGCACTGAATCTGTAGATTGCTCTGGATAATTTCGAAATTTTAACAATATTATTTCTTCCACTCTATGAACATGGAATGTCTTTCCATTTATTTGTGTGTTCTTCAGTTTCATCAGTGTCTTACTTATAGTTTTCAGTGTATAGGTCTTTCACTTCCTTGATTAAATTTATTCCTAGGTATTTTATCCTTTCTGATGCAATTGTAAATGGGATTGTTTTCTTAATTTCTTTTTCTGATAGTTTGTTGTTAGTGTACAGAAACAAAACTGATTTTTGTATTCTTCTCAAAGTGATTTTGTATCCTGTACCTTTATTGAATTCATTGATTAATTCTAACAGTTTGTGGTGAAGTCTTCAGGGTTTTCTCTATATAGTATTTCATCTACGTAGGGGAAGTTTTACTACTTCCTTTCTAATTTGGATGTCTTTTATTTCTTTTTCTTGACTACTTGCTCTGGCTAAGACTTCTAATGCTATGTTGAATAAGAGTGGCAAGAATGTAAATAAACTAGATCTAACAGATATATATATATATATATATATATATATATATATATATGTGTGTGTGTGTGTGTATATATAATATATATATCCATCCAACAACAAAATATGGATTTTTCTCAAGTGCACATGGTATCTGTTGGATAGGCCATAAGTTAGATTACAAAATAAATCTCAAAAACTTTAAGAAATTGAAATCATACAAAGTTTCTTCTCCAACCATGATGGAATGAAACTAGTAGTAACAGAAGGAAAACTGGAAATTCATAAATATATGAAAATTAAACAACACACTTAAACAACCAATGGGTCAAAAAAGACATCAACGAGGGAAATTAGAAAAACCTTTGAGATGAATAAAAATGAAAACACAGGATACTAAAACTTAAGGGATTTTATAGTGAAAGCAGTGCTGATAGAAAGTTTATAACTGTAATGGCCTACATTTAAAAAAGAAACATCTCAAGTCAACAACCTAACTTTACACCTTAAGGAACTGAAAAAAGAATAGCAAAGAAAACCCAAAGCTAACAGAAAGAAGGAAATAATAACTAAAGATAAATGAAATAAAGAATAGAAAAACAGTAGAAAATGTAATGAAATAGAGAAAAGTCAACAAAAGTTGGCTTTTTGAAAAGATCAATAAAATTGACAAAATTTTAGATGGACCAACTCAGAAAAAAAAAGAAGACATAAATTATTAATATCAGAGATGAAATTGGGTACATTACTTCTAACCTCCAGAAATAAAAATGATTATAGGAGAATACAATGAATTTGTACACCAACAAGCTAGGTAACCTAGATGAAATGAACAAATACATGAATTACCAAAACTGACCCAAGAAGAAACAGAAAATCTGAACACACCTATATCAAGAGACTGAATCAGTAGTCAAAAACCTCCCAACAAAGAAAAGCGCTGCACTAGAGAGCTTCGCTGGTGAATTCAACAAACATTTAAAGAAGAATTCATATCAGTGCTCTCAAACTTTATAGAAAATGTAAGAGGGAACACTTCTAAGGCCAACATTACTCTGTTACCAAAGCCAGACAAAGATATCACAAGAAAGAAAATGACAAACCAATATATCTTATGAATATAGATGTAAAATATACTCAACAAAATACTAGCACCCTGAATCTAGCAGCATAGTAAAATGATTATATTCCAAGACTGAGCGGGATTTACCCCAGTAATATATGTGTGTTTCATCATCTGAAAATCAAATGTAATATACCTCATTAATAGAATGAAGGAACAAAACTACCTAATCATTTCAATTGATGCAGAAAAAAACATTTGCTAAAATCCAACACCTTTTCAAGAAACCATCTCCTGACTTCAAAACTTATTCTGCAAACTGGGAATAGAAGAAAACTAGATAGAAGGGATAGAAGGGACTTGGGAAGAAAATTCCCAAGTTCCTTATGACAGACCTTTAAGTTGGCAGAACAGGCAATATTATCCCTATTTTATATAAGGAGGACCTAAGGCTCAGATAAATTATGATTTATTTAAGATTACCTGGTTTGTAAGCGGCACAGCTGGAACTAGTGCCCAGGTAGTTAGGAGAACAAGTTCTAGAGTCAGATTGCCTGATTTGATTCTACTACTTACTAATTATGACTTTGAGCAAATTGCTTAATCTCTTTAAGACTCCATTCTCTTATCTGTAAAGTAGAGGTATTAAGTATCCACATGTATCTCCTAGAGTTGTTCTCCTAGAGTTTATGTTGAAATAATATAAACTCCTTAGCCAATGTCTAGAAAACATAGTAAATGCTTATTACATGTTGGCTATTATTATTATTTTGTTAATTCCATTTGATGCTTTTCCCACTGCATTTTTAAAACCTGGTGTAAGGCATCATTCTATAGTTATTCATTTACATCCATGTAACCTTCTAGGATTACCCTTGTCTTAATTGATCTTTTTGTTCTCTGGATATAACACAAACTTGTTTTGAGCACACCAATATAGCCATGTGATGTTTGCATTTTAGACTTTAGCGCATGCCTAGTAGATACCTACATTTTAGACCTTTTTTAAAAAAGCTTCTCCACTAAGCCTCACATAGTATCTTGCCTACATTGAGTCCTGAAAAAAATAGCGGTTGAGTTGTTTCTAGTTGACCGGAAAGCTTTGTGGAGGAGGTAGATTTGAAGCACCTGTGGCATTCAATGGATGGAGAGACCTGAAGGTGAAAGAGTTAGAGGAGCAAAGTCACAGTAGCCGGCAGTACAATGCGTTCACCACAGACGTAGTAAACTAAAACTGCCCAAATGAGGATGTGGCAACAGGAATGGAACCTGAGACATCTTAGAAACTTTGCCTTATATCTGTGACTTTTAACATGGGGCAAGGTCCCTAGCACTTGGAGATGTGGGGGTGGGACACCAAATCATGGAAGATAACCATATTTTCAAAGAAGCTGAGATGATGTTCTATACATCCATAATACTTAAGTTTTTAAGGGAAGGAAACAAAGTTGACTTTTGCTTTGAAATGTGGGAGCATGAACTGAAACACCCATCTTGTCATGGGTTTTGCTAGTGAGCATCATTATGTTTAAGTTCTCTGTCACTAGATGGAGTCCATGAGCCCCGGGGAACCCTCGGTTGGACCTTTCTATATACCTCTTCCTGTGATTCCTGTTCTATGCCTTTGAAAGGGAGAATAAATACTTTAAAATAAAAAATAAAAAATTTGACAAATGAATTTGAATGACAGAATTTTTAAATTTGCTTTTTTTTAAAAAAACCGGGTTTTTTGCCTTTAAAAACAATCATCAAAATACTCTTTTAATTCTTCATATTCCTGCCTTCCAAAAAATTTTTTTGGAAAATATCTTTAAAACCACATTTTAATATCAGTTCTAAATCATTCTGATATTAACAGTGTTTTTAATTTACTTTATTACTGAATGTCAATTAAAAGGTTGTTATCCTCTGTTCCAGGGCTTCCCTCAGAAGCTCTTGATTTCAACCCAATTATACATTTTCCCCTCATAAGCTTTGTTTCAAATACTAGTAAGAACAACTGTTGCACTGCTTGTTAAGTGTCAGTTTTTATCACAGCACGACCCATGCCTGCATTTTTAAAACCTGGTGTAAGGCATCATGAGAGAAAGGCCCAGATAAGCAATTTTTCTTTGTTAAGGTTGTCAAAAAGAAGCCTGAGGCCAATAACAGATAATAGTGTTAGTGAGTATTCCAGTCACAAGCTTGCTTTGCCATTTATTTTATTTCAGGGGTAAGCAGTAGGAAAAGAGCAAATGAATACAAGGAGAGGTAGCACAAAGTTATCTTGGGAACTTTCCAGGCCCCAAAGAGGATGCAGTTAAACTTGATCAAGTAGTCTGTATGCAAGGCAACATGTAGGCAAGGTATGATCTAATCCTTTTTTGTCTTTCTGCTGCAGCACGTGCCCTTATAGTCGGCCTCCTTTTGGCTATGGAAATTTTCCAAGTTCAATGCCAGAATGCCTTGGTTATTATGAAGACAGGTACCAAACACATGAGGCTATGTTTTCAGCTTTAAATAGAGACTATGCTTTTAGAGACTACTCAGATGAACGCACACGCGGTGAAGATTCTCGGAGTTGTGAGAGCATGGATGGGACCTCTTATTACAGCAGTCACAGCCACAGTGGGGAAGAATACCTAACTCCTGTGCCTCAGCTGGACATCGGAGCCTTGGAGAATGTCTTCACAGCCCCGACATCAACTCCCTCTAGCATTCAGCAAGTCAATGTCACCGATAGTGATGAGGAGGAAGAAGAAAAAGTGCTCAGGAATTTATAATTTTAAAACACATATTCAGAGAAAATAAACATTTCTTAAAATATATTCTTGGTCAGTTGATGTGAGAAAAAAAAAAAAAGCCTAGAATGCCTTGCTGCGAGTTTTCAGCCATGATTCGAGGAGTCAAATGAAACTCAATTTATGCCTTCATAAAGTTTTTATTAGTGAAACTGGAGTCCTGATGTTTTATCATAGGAATATTTAAGATATGAAGTAGTTTATTTTTATGGCGGAAATTTGCATCAACATATATTATCATTACTTTACCTTGGAACGTGCAAAGTACCGAAACCTCACAAGTATGTGAGGGAAAAGGGGGCATATATCTGGCATGACAAGTGTGATTGTATTTTATCTCGGGATACATTTATTTACTTTTCTTACATGATTTTTTTGTTTGGTGTTTAGGTAATCTTTATGGACGTTGTCAGTTTTTATGTATCATTTTGAAAATATTATGATAACTTTTAGTTGTGAATTGGGACTCAGTTACTAAATTTAATTTACACTGATAACCAATTATAAGTTGAGAATGTGTTTTAACAGCACCTGGGTAATTCCTTCAGCTACATTAGTCATTTCTGTTTGTAAACATTTTCATCATCTTTTTTGGATATCTTTTTCCATTTGGTATACATTGTTCTACTTTTGTTATAATTAAATAAACAGATAAAATTGTTCCTGTGGATGTTTTCTGTTTGGGGGATAGAAATAAACAAAATGAGTATGGTTCGAATGAGGATGATTTCCACATACAGATATTTGTTTTTACTTGATAGCCTCCAGAATTGCACCGATCCTATTAGCTTACATGAGACTTAAAACTGTATCAGCAAAGAGGTCGTGCACATATCCCAATGCCCTTTCCAGACTCTTTATACACGTGTACATGTGACTTATGTACTCCCCAAAATGGAAGAGCTCTTCCAGAGTTGGTTCAAGCAGCTGTCTTTAAAGCCATGGAACTCCTATAAGAGCACGTGGAATTTGTTTAATTCACAATGAGCAAAAAACTCCTGCTTGCAATGTGACCTCTTAGTACGTGCCCACTTATGGATGGAGAGAACATGTTTAGAATGAGATCAGGACCACTAGAGATGGGATCATGGCAAAAGAGATCTACAAGGCACAGAGTGAACTGATGATCGGAAATAGCCACAAACCAATACACTTTTCCCTCAGTGATCTGTATAATTTATGCAAATTGAGATCTTGTTACTTAAAACTGTTTGGAAATTGTGTATGGAAACCTGTTCTAAGCTTCCAACTTCTTCCCTTACTCAATCTGTATTTTTTCTGTAAGCAAAGATTGTTAATGGAATACATTTCATCAATCCTATACTTAATTACATGTAAAATTTCCTCTTCCCAATAAAAACTTTATTTTCACATTTTATATTTTTTATTCTGTGCAATGTCATTTCAATGTAGTTAAAGAGCAAACCTGAATTTCCTGGTGGAGAGCAAATGTAAACATCACATTGGAACTAAAGCAATGTTTGATTGTCTTTGCAGTTGATGTCTACTTGTACACCATGAAAGAAAAATGTGTTTGACAGACCCATCTTATTTTAATAACACTTTAGTGACTAAACTAGGTTTTGATCATAGACCTTATTCTTAAGACAATTTGGGTAGGGGCATCCTGGTGTAACGCAGTGGAATGGTACAGCATGGTTTAGTGTTTCCTAACGACTGTGTTCAGGCTTGCCCTGCACCACCAACTCCTTCCCCAATCTTCTTTTTAATGGCTGTTAAAGCTGGGCAACTCTTCGTCTTATTCCTCCTCTTCCTCAGTGCTGGGATCAGAAATCAGAAGTTTATATTGGTTACAGATCCACAGTATACTTTGGGATGGGAAATATGGGTACCTCTTATGTAGAAAAGTATTCTATTGCAGATAAGCATGCCTAACTACAAATGCCCATGTCTGCTCATTTGTAGTTCCTCAAACCACTGTTGGCTCTGACTAGAGATCTACAGACAAAATAAAGCCCTGCTCCATTAGCACTAATTCATCTGCCTCCCTAAGTCATCAAAGTGAATTTCTCTGAGCTTGAAACTACAACCACTTTCTAAAAGGCGTCATTGCATTGTTTGTTCTTATTATAATTTGCAACGTAGTGATATTCGTAATCAGAATAGTCTCCTTTACACATGTGTTGAAATATCTATATGTTTAGAATGTCAAACTGTTCTGTGCTCTGGCTGCTTGCAAATAAAAACTTTTTTCACTGCAAATAGACTGAAAATAGATTTAGTCCCAACTTTCAAGTAGCTAATTTATTAAATTTAGAAAAGAGCAGTATTTCTCTAAGTGTATTAGTTGGAACCCAAGTTTTTTAGTTATTCTGACGATATTTGGTCAAATAACTTTGGGAAACACATGCTATGCCCCCACCTTGGAGAGTGTCAGTTATCATTGTTAAGGTTCTCGAAAGTCTTAGGTGAAGAAACATGTTGAACTCTGTTTTGTCACGGTGCTCCCCAAACTTATTTGGCTTGAGATCCCCTTTTTTGTTTTAACATAATATCTACTAAGATCTCACAGAATCCACTTTGGAAAATACTAATAGAGCTGTTGGCTTTGGTTTTCAACTGTTAACTTCTCACGGGGTTTTCTGTATTGACCTCCTTAAATCTTTTACTGAGAAGCCAATGGCCAAATAAAATGTTTTCTGCACCAAGCATCTGATCGTCTTAAAAGATGGAAGAACTGAAATTAGTAGTTGTAAATTGCTGTTGTTTATGAAATTGGCTTTTTAATGAGATTTGATATTGCACCCAAGAATTCAAGTGGGTAAATGTGCTAAATCCCTTGCAAGCGTATTTTTCACAGTGTAATCCAGCTATTATGATTATTCCTGAGCCCAAAGTGTGAGCTACTTTTGAGAGTTGTAGTTTGGAACTGATTTTGAAAAGAAATTCTGGGAATTCTATGAGCTATTCTCAATATTTTAAAAAAGTATAATTTTAATGTGGGCAGGGTAATTCTGAAAATTTTCTGTTCCACCTCTTTTTTTAGGATTTTAGAAAAATTCCAATTATCAATAAAACTAAAACTAAAAGTAAGCGTAGTTACATTCTATATAACTCTACTTGATGACAAATTCTGTACCTGCTAAACATATTTACTCTCTATTTCTTTGTTCTGCATTCTAATTGCCTGACCCAACCTTACACATCTTCTTTCTGGTGTTAAAATGCACAAAAATCGCTAAACTTTTCACTAAGTGATGAGCGCTTGTAGGAAACGAGAAGATGGGAGGACTGTTTGCTACACACATGTGTATCTCTGGCACCTTCTCTGAGATCACTTGGGGGAAATGTTTTATTTCTAAAAATGATGACCAGCATCTTACATGTATTCTTTTTCAAAGGGAGATCTTTAAAAAGCTAAGTGTTTGCTTGTGTTCTCTGAGACATGTCTGGGGAGACTGACAACCCTTCCTGGAGAATTGTCTTTTCTTTTAAGCTGTACGTCATTACATACGTCATAGGCAATGGAAAGGTGAAGGGTGACCGACCGTCCCAGTCTGCCCGATACTGAGGGGCAGAGGGTCCAGGGACATAGGACTTTTCAGAGCTCTAGACAAGCTGGTCACTTTATTCAGTGAATAAAATTGAGTATAGAATCATCCAGGGGGTTGGCTTATGCAGATTGTGTGCTATCCAGATGTAGAGTTTTAAATTGCCAAGCTTCATTCAAAAAGGCAGGTCATAGCCGAATTTGTGTCTCGCCTATTGAAAGGCATGGGGAGAATTACAGGACATGTGGGGACTATAAGAGAACTAGAGATAGGTTAACTGTTAATACCAGGGGTGCTTTTATCAGACAGCTCCAAGTTTACTTGGAGGACTAAATGGAAAATTATCAAAGCTGTGCAATATTTTAGCGATATTGTACTTTATAAACCAGGGAGAGAAAGCGTTTTTGTTAATATGGAGTCTCGGTTTTAAATTTCTTACTGTTTCCCCAACAATGATAGCAGACTATTGGCTTAGGGTCTTTAGCACAGCATAAAGCTGGGATGTTTGGACACAGATAATGTCCCAACTCTATACTTTATTAGATGTCTCTGAGACACCAGCTATCATGGTGCTTTTCAAAGGTGGTCAGTGCACAGCTTCCAACAAGAGGACCTGGAGTGTTTGTTAAAAATGCAGCCGTTTCCCAGACCTACAGCATCAGAATCTCTCTGGCTAGAGCCTGGTAATCTGCATTTTAAATAAGCTCTTCAGGTGAGTCTTAAGCACTCCTGCCTTTGACACCATGTAAAGTTTTCAAGACTTATTTTAAATTTTATTTGTTATGAAAACATGTAACTGCATTAAAGGAAATTTTCAGAGAAGAAGAAAACCTTTAATCCATCCAATCATTTTTATTTTATGATATTCTTTCTAATATTTGTCCATATACACACATTTTTACACAATTATAATCACAACATATGTCCAGGTTTGCATATATAGAAATTTGCATTTCCTCAGTATTTTATCATGAGCTGTTTTTCATACTCTGTAGACTCACACATGATCCCCTTTCATGTTTGTATAATATTGCTTCAGGCATATGTGCCCTAATTAATCACGTGAAAGGGGTAGGACTATAGTATTTTCCAAATTGGTTTTAATGATTTTTCCTAGTAAATTTCAATGATGAAATTTCAGAGTGAGCTCTCTTACAGACCAGAAGAAAGGAAACATCTCTATGCAGCCATGATTCCAGTGACATGA